AGAGCTATTTCTCTAATGTGGACACTGTTGCTTTGGGTTTCAAAAGTAAGTGATTATGTCAGCCTGACAAATTTTGAAACAGAGTCCAAACATATCCCAAATCCTTATATTTGAGAAGGAATCTATAAACAGAATCAGCAATCATGTTTTGTCCAACCACAGTTTTCAAGGAAAGGGAAGCAGGCTGAGGAAAATAACGTTAGTGGAACTATCCTTCAGCTACAGGAAGTTAAATGGGCAACAGTAAAGCTTTTTAAAAATCGTTTAGTTTGGCTTTGAGGTATGGAATTAACACATTATAGATTTCAACTCTAGTACAGAAAAATATTTCAGAAATTAAATGAGCAATATGAAATGTGGCCATTTGAGAAAACGTAAGGAACATACTTAGTATTTGGATATATGAAAAATGCTACAGTGTGTACTAAGATCATATTCAAAAGTAACCAAGAGGGCAAAAATTCCTGCCTCCACTATTGAGCTCATGTGGCAGGATTCTCTGTGGGTGATGTTTCACACTTAGACAAGTGATGTCTGGAAAACAGATCACAAAAATCAAAATCTCCCATGGCTATTCAAAACCAGCTGTGGAAAAATCTTTTCATTTAGCACTGTTTTTTAAGGTTTTCTAGTATAAAATACAATGCAAGAGAAAGGACTACCAAAGCAGCAATGAGTTATTTTCCTTAGGGTTAATGGGCAGTAAAGATCTCCTGGACAAACTTCATTTCTTCACAGACTTCATTGGTGTAGATGTATTTTAAAATGTGAGATTCTGTATACTGTCGCTCTCCGTTGCTGTGATACCACATACATCTCTGTCATCTAATGACATGACGTTCAGTTGCAGGCATAAAAACTGGGTATAGGCACTAAAGCCAGAAATGAAGTGTAAAAACATCGAATGTTTTAAATCTGAAACTTATATATAATACATGTGAATACACCAACTTATTGCAGAAAAAAATATACAAATGCAGTGGATGCATTTCAAACAAATGCAAGTAAACCGATGTAACAAAGTAATGTGGAAATATTGTAATTAACATACGCTGAAATGTAGTATAACTTATGAAAGTGTTGGGAAATGTGTCTAAAAGAACTGTGTAGGTTTTTTTCCTGCTTTAATTCAATTTTTCCCTTATGATCAACATAACACTACATAGGTCAGTAGCTGTTAGAAGAGCACACAAGACATCCACGTCTTGCATGCAAATCATCCTTTTGGTTTTCATCAGAATTTTACAACATAATAGCAATACTTGCACTGCATGTAGCATCATGTATACCACATAGTGTGTGTACCTCCAAGGCACATTCTGCATGTGAAAACCACCTGGTGGAAATCAGGCCTGAATCCTTCAAGGTGACTGGATGAGGCCAGGCTCTTCTCAGTGGTGTGTTCTGATAGAAAGTTAGGGAGGTAGGGGCTGTGACAAGGAGCAGGACAAGAAGTAACAGTCTGAAACTTCAGCATGAGATGTTCCATACTAACATGCAGAAGAACTTCTTTATGGTAAGGGTGATGGAGCACGGATCAGGTTGCCCAGAGAGGTTGAGGAATCTCCTTCTCTGGAGATATTCAAGACTCATCTGGATGCTAACCTGCATGACCTGTTTTTAATTAAATGTATTTTAAAATGTGAGATTCTGTATACTGTCGCTCTGTTGCTGTGATACCACATGCCTGCTATAGGAGCAGCATTGGACTCCATGATCTCTTGAGGTCCCTTCCAGCCCCTGTGATTCTGTGGTTCTGTAACTGTTCCATTTAAATGAACTATTAAGAGGACTACAAAAATCTGAATCTGTAGAATTGGGAAACTGACATTTGAATCTGAACCAAAACTGGCAAATGCAAGGGTGTTTTAAACTCTGCTTCCTCAGAAAGCAGGTTTGGTACTCTCCTGAAGTAACCGGGGGTACACTGTGAAACTTTATCTGAGGCAGAATACTCCTGTGAATGTTGTTCAATGTTTGTTGTAATCACTGTTAATGAATTGACATTTTCCCTGATAAAATGGTTTCACCACAGCTTCTACCTGTTGATTTTCTGTTCAGCCGAAGAGCTTAGCAATTACAAAGTGATGGAAAAAAAAGAGAAGTTAAAATCTAAAAGCACGAATCCTGCATTTTTCTTCAATTTACAGGCCACCAATTAAGGCAGTGCCCTTTACTCCTCTCAAAACCTTTTGCAGCATTATCTCAACCTCTGGGATACATGCAATCCAAATTTGACCATCAAGATGCAGAAACATATTCTTATTTTCACAACATTTCTTTGAGAGAATAAGATGGTACTTCTCATTGAGAGGCAAAAAACCCCCGATGCTTAGTAATCAACTTAGCTGGTATCTAAGAGATTACTGTGTAGAAATTATTTCATCCCGGCCAATAGGAAACAAAGTAATGAAAGGACTGGGGGAGGTAGGGGGGAAAGAGGAAGTTACCTTTTTAACAGTAGCTTACAATGGCATAAGTATGGAATGAGACTGAACACTCAGAGAACTGGTGGCCACCTGTTGTAGAGTGCATTAGAATACGTTAAAAGTTCTGTTCCTCACTTCCTCCAGAACTTTGAAAATTCAAAAAAGCAGAGGAGTAAGGTCTAAGTTTGACACAGAATCATTATGACTCTTTCACCCTTCTTGTTTACTTCTCCCCTACCATTTGTTTCACACATAGTGCCTACCTCACTGACTTTCTGAAAAAAGCCCAGCTGAAGAACTCATCACAGCCTTACCTGGAGTTTTCCTTACAGTATATGGAGTTTTAAATTAGCTCTTTGAGTGGTTATAGCCTGCTGCTCCCATTCCAGTTTCTCCTTCAGTCCCCGCTTATTCCCTTATTAGAACACACTCTCCCACCCACTGCTTTTGTATACACTCAATTAATTAAAAACTTGCTAACTTTTCTTCTTGTTAGCTGGCCATCAACAGCACTGCTTCATTTCCCAGCATCGCTGCAGACCTGATCTCTTTTGCTAATTCTGCTTCCCTGCTGAGCCTCTTGTATTTTCATGTCAGAAACCTTGCATTACTCTTCATTAGGAAAAAAGTTTTTCAAGTTCCAAATGGTAGAAAGATGCCTTATTCTATTAACCACTCAAAATTAGATTATTATGAATTACTTTTTTTTTTTTTTCATCATCTCCCTTTAAATCCATTCTGACAGCCTTATAAATGATGTTTGGCCCAGACTCCCTAACTAACCACTCTGAGATGCTTCCACTTGGAATGTGGGAACCACTTAGAAGCAGAGGTACTATAAGGAACATACAGTGCAGATACATAGGGAAGTATGAAATACTGATATCTCTGTTCTTTGTGTATCAACTTTATAGCTTGTGCATTACCAAATAATATCCTAATGGAAGGATCAGAAAACATGAAGGTGCTAAATGAGAGCCTGGTTTACAACACTTAGACACGTACCCAATATTTGAGCTCATGCTTTAGTGCTTCTGTATCACACTAGAATTACTCACACCTTCTGTTTATTTCATTTCACGGTTCCAGTTAAAGCAAACCAGCTCTGGAGGCAGAGGGAAGCTCAGCCAATGCTGCTTGCTTACTCAAGGGAGCCTTCAGCTGCCACTCCCAGCAATTGCATGCAATAACCTCTTTGGCACCAATAACCTGAACACCCGAGTAGTCAGAGAGGACCACAGTGTGCCAATTCCATCAGCAGAGCAGTGAGTTAAATAAAGTACAGCAACCTTGGCAAATGTCGCTTCAAAGAGGTGATGCTACTGTCATTCATTTCCATAATGTGGAGTGAGGGTGGGCACCAGCAGGACTAGGTACATAGGGCAAGAGGAACCCTTTTGTCCCACATCATTCAAGGCTCTGCAGATTTGATAAAGGAATTTAAAAAGGTATTTGGAGCATTCTCCTGAGAAGGTGGGAAATATGGTTTTAAGCCCTTTGCACCTTCATTGTCATAACTCTGTATAACAGAGACTGGCACTTTTCCATGATGAGGGGCATACAGCACTTCTACCACTCACAAACATCAGCTACTCACAAGAGCTGATTTAGTCACCTACATCCACAGTGAGCAGCTGAACTTTGGCATTGCAGACACACACAGCAGGTATTCCTGTCTGAGCGAAGGTCGTATTGCTAGCGTATTACACTACTTCAGTTGAACAGCTGCAGTAGGTGGGGAATAATTAATGATTTAACATCAAACATTTAATACGTTTTGAGTGCTCTTATAAAAAAAAAAATAAAAGAATAAGAAGAGTGCTTTTGAAAGAATATGGCTTGAGCAAGTCAGGTTGTTGTTCTGTGCTGAGGCAAGGCTGGGTGTCCTAGTCACTGTGCAGTTGCATTTATCTAGCTTAGACCAACCCTTATTCTGTTTACTTAATCCTCATTTGTTGTGACATACTGATAATCAAAATTAAAAGGTGAAGCCAACATTAATGTAGTAAAGACTACCACAGCTTTCCATGAGGCTTATAAAACAATTAATTGTGCACCTGATTATATGGCTCCACTAGCAGCACCACTATCTACTCGATAGCAAACACCAAGAGCTTTACGGGAATTCATGTTGGCCAAAATAAAGAGACACCCTTGAAAACAATTAACAGTTGCAGGACACTTAAGTAGCATGAGTATAGACAAGGCAAAGCTCTTACAAAGTCACTCCAACTTATTTCTGTGAACTTGGAATGAACTTGGAATCCTTTGAACACGCACATAGTGGTATAACACACCCTGCACCAGCCACACCAGGTCCAGTACGGCCCTGGAGTTTTGCCAGCACTCACAATTTGGTCCAGAAATTATGTGTGGCATAAGGGAGGCATCTTCATCTGACACAGATGAAAGTAGTTCAATTTCTGGACTTGAATCAAGATAGACAATTCTACTTGGGTATGCTCCAACCCCAAACCATGGAAAATGGCAATTTGACAGTCCTGAAAAAGGTATCTTTAAGGTGAAACTTTACCTTTTCATCATGTAGATAAGCAATCTGGAGACATTCAGACATTTCAGTGAGTTTTATTTCAGTGACTTTATTATTTACTTTACAAAACCTAGGAAAGGAGGCAAGGGTCCATATTTCTAGCTTCCTACTCCTATCATAAGTCAGGCTTAGTGTTAAACACTACTAATTTGCAAGCATTACTACAAAGCACATATTTTATTTAAACATTTTTGAAAATTAAATGAATGGTTTTCCACATTTCCTTGTTTCAAATGAACCACTGCAAACAATACAATCCACAAAAGAAAGTCGCAGCCAAAACCAAATTTCATCAATGTTACTGTTTGGCTATCATCAGCCTCCTGGATTTACTTTATTATTACAATAAAACATTAACTCAGCAGAATATTCTAATTCAGCAGATATTTTCCCTTCTGTGAGCTGATTCTGAGGGTTCAGCACTGCCTATACCGTCAAGAGCATGGACCCTGACCCAGCATTACATACCTGAAAGAAAGGAACTTTTGACCCCTTTCAAGAGTCCTTCAAGTAGAGCAGGTTGTGAAAGCAGAAAAGGTATTTATTTAAACAGCACGGCAGCTTCCAAACCCTGGCTCTTTGTGACCATAGGGAGCCATTTGTTCCCGAGTGGGCAAGCAAAAGCAGCCTGTTTGTGCCAGCGTGTATCAAAGCACTCCCTCCATCCCCTCTTGAAGACGGTCCTTCAAACAGAGCTCTGAACCTTCATTTGGAGATGATGGGTCACACCTCAGATTTTCAAAGTCTCCCTGAGACACGTTATTAATAGTGAATATAGCACAGCAATTAGGCAGTATAACGAACCCAGCGCTTCATAAGGGAGTGACTGCCTAACACAGCAGGCAGAAAGTGAGGGCTCAGAAAGCTGCGTGCTCTGCGTTTCACAGGAGTGTAACAGCAGCGTAAACGTACCACTCGGGAAGGAGGGACACGAAGGATCCGAGTGCCGAGGAAACGCCTTCGGGGCTATTTTTTTCCGGCGGCATTGAGTACCCTATGTCTCACAGACTTTCTCTGAAGTTGCGAGCGTTCAGAGTTCTCCTGTCTAAGGGCGAGCGCAGGGTGAAAGCAAGAGCCACCCAAAGCGCTGCTGCTCTGAAGGAAGAGACCACCCAGAGCAGCAAACACAGGGCACCGGGTCAGCAAACTCAGACCATCCTTAACGTTTTTATGAGACAACTACAGCACGTTTGGGAAGCCCAGGCATCATCCATTCACTTGAACCCTCCCGGGGAGCTCTCACCCCGGCGCAGCTCGCTGATGGTGCCACCTCCTCACGCTCCCCGCTGCCGTCTCCGCGCACCAGCTGCCGTCTCACAGATATGCCGCCCCTCCCTCACGCAAACTCCGCCTGACGAGCTCCCCCAGATCCCACACAGCCCCGCAGCTGCGGACGAGGCACGGAAGACCACCCCGCCCGTTCTCCCATGGGCTCCGACCGGCCGGACCCGTTCCCCCCGCCGCCGACCCGCGGCCCTTCCGGCCCTTCCGGCCCGCCCCCCGGTATCCGGTCAGCCCCGCTCCGGGGCGGGCTGCGGTATAAAGGCCGGGCTCGGCCCGCAGTCCCGTTCCCCATGTCGTACTTCCTTCGCGGTACGCGGCCTCTCCGTTCCCTCAGGCGGAGTTACTTTCGTTCTTCAGCCCGGCGAGCGGAGGTACCGGGGGTGCTGCGGGGGGGCGCTGCCGGGGGAGCCCTGTGTGTGCCGGGCTCCCGGGAGCTGGCGGTGCTCAGCGCGGGGAGGGGGCGGCGAGCTGCTCCCTGCTGCTCCGAGCCGTCTGTGGGCTGGGTGCTGGTGTTAGACGGCGGGCGGGGGAGCCGACGGAGTGAGGTGGGCCAGGACGGACGGGTGGGTCAGGGCAGTGCGGCATCATCTAGTGAAGGCATTGCGTGCCAGACTCCTCGTCTCGGCTCAGGCACCGCTGTGTGTGCGGAGGTTCGCTGCCCTCTGGATGCGGTGAGCGAATGCATGCCTGCCGGTATCTGCTCGGGTGGTTGTACCATTCGTTTTTTAGCGCTTTCTCTATTAGTGGTGTATTGGAGCAATATACGGTAAAGACAGCTTATAAAAAAAAAAAAAAAATGCTGATTTTTTTATGCGTTCTGTTAGTGATAGAATGGGGGGAATGGCTTTTAATTACAAGAGGGGAAACTCAGGTTAAATAGTAGGAAGAAATCCTTTACACAGTGAGGCCCTGGCACAGCTGCCCTGAGAAGCTGTGGTGCCCCATCCCTGGATGTACTCGAGCTCAGGTGGGATGGGGTCCTGGGTAGCTGAGCTGGTAGGGAGCAGCCCTGACCATGGCAGGACTGGATGGGCTTTAAGATCCCTTCCGACTCAAGCTGCTCCATGACAGTAGTCCCAGTTCTGTCCTTGCAACTTGTGGACACTGGTAGTCTGCAGGGGCTGCTCAGCTGACAGCATCAGCACCTGCACATACAAGTCTGTTCTGGAAACTCTCTGTGGCTGGAAAGCAACCTGACTGATAAGCTGTTGTGAAACCTCTTGTGACTTTGCTACTGCATAGAAGCCCTTCGTATTGACGTGGGGGGGAGGGGGAAAAGTATTAAAAGCAGTGTGTGTCACCAGAATGACTGGTGAGGAAATGCAGGAATCTGCTTGTCCTATGTGTGCCAAAGGTATCTGGCTCATTCACCTGTAAATCTATTCCCACTCATGTGCTCCTAGTTACTGTGGCTGCTGTCAGACCAGCCCTGTGCTATCAGTTGGCAGAGCAGAGCTGTGGGCCAGGCACAGGTAGGCTAAGGAAGGCACAGCAGAGGGAAGTGGTAAGCATCTTAGTGAGGGGTATGGAGTTTGACAACCCCTATACCTAAACCAATTCCACTTCCCCAAGAGAAAACAAGACCTCCTCTGAGCTCTAGCGTGTCTCTGCCCTGTATAAGCCTGATTATATCGCTTACTAAATTGCTGACACACTCGGAACTGGTTTTAGATCAAACAGAATATTATGCTCAGAATGCTGTTACCTCCCTTGTGTTTTCTGTATGGATTAAGGACTCTTTTGCAGCTCTCTGCAACATTCATATCTGCTCCTTTCATGCCAATACAGTATGTTACCTTCACCCTTCTAAGTTAACTTGGTGAAGTTAAACTCTGTAGCTGCATCTGCTTTGAAGAATTCCTACTTCTGTTTTAGACACTGCAAAAAAAAAATTGTAACAAAAAAATGTTGGTTTTGATACACGTGCAGTTTAGTAACTTTAGTAACACTTCTCCCACCTAATTCTAGGCTCAGATCTGTGATAGCTCTACGTAGCTCTGAGAGTCTACTGCAGGTAAAATCACTGCAGTATCTACGAAAATATTGTGCTGTAAGCAATACTTAAATCAGTTTTAATACCTTTTCTGTGCTAGAACTTGTGTATACTTTGCACCATTTGAAAGGGAATTAGAAAGAGAAAATACTTACTGTATGACATGTCCTTCAAAAAAAGGAACTTGTTTCCTGACCCACTCTGCTTTTGACTAATGCTTTTCTGTTACCAGAATTGGTATGGAAACTATGTCCTAATGCTTGCACTGTAAAGCTTTCTGAACTAACTTGCTCTGATTTTGCAGTTGTCTGTTCCTTCACAGGTATTGAGCTGTTTGCCATGTACCAAAACTTGATGCTCCTGACAACATGTAAATCGAAATGCTACAGTTTGTGAACTTTGCTCAGAGCTGCAGAGATATAAGTAACTTATCTTTAGGCAATTGTCAAACATGAGTATGTACCTAGATACCAGTGTTAACGAAGATGTGATTGAATCAGGCACTTAGTGCTGAAAGTTGAAGTGTAAGCACTGGTAAGCTGTGCCTTTAGCTCAGAAGTAAAATATTGATCTTTTGCACTATAACTAAGTCAAAGATAAAAACCTGCCCTGACCAAGGGCATGCTTCTTGTGTAGCACTCATATGCTGGGGAATGGACTTAAATGCCTGCTCTGAGTTACTGTGATGAGTATGGACTGTGTAGGTAAACACATACTTGTGATTCAAGCCTGTTGATTTCTAATTGCCATGCGTTTTGGCTTCAGATGTTGAAAGGGCAAATGTTGCCTCTTTTAGGGTGTCTATATTCTGTTGGAGCGGAGGTGGAAAGCCATGATGTGAAGGGTGGAGAATTTCCAAAGCAAGTATTTCTTCTCTCTCCCAAATGACAAATATCTTCTTGCTTTTCTGGAAGAGAATAGGAACACCCTCGAGACAATATAGAAACAGGGTAGGTGAGTCAGACATGCAGATGTAAGCCCATGTACTCACTAGGCTGCTTCTGAGTTCAGAATACTTAGAATAGATTGGAAAATGCTTTTCTGTTTGGAAATGTTGATGTTTGCATTCTCTTCAATCAGATATCGGAAAAAATAGCCTCAAGATGAACTTCTTCCTGGAGCTGCTCAAAGTTATTGGACTTTCAACATATTACATGCTGGAATCACTGGTGTTTTTGTTTGTGCCTAAACGTAAGAAGAATGTGAGTGGTGAAATAGTATTAATAACAGGAGCAGGAAGTGGAATTGGAAGACTCTTATCCTTAAAATTTGCCAAACTTGGAGCCACACTGGTTCTTTGGGACATTAATCAAGATGGACTCCGAGAGACCTGTAGACTGGCTGAAGAAAATGGAGCTGTAAGAATACATTCTTACATCTGTGACTGCAGCAAAAGGCAGGAAGTCTACAGAGTAGCAGATCAGGTAAAGTATCTCTCTTCTGTCTTTGACACTATTCTGAGGTGTTGGTGATGTATGATACGCTTTAGCCATGTCAAGTCAAGAAAATACTTCATTTGATTTATTGCATATACTACCTGTTTTAAGCATACTGATTTTTAGAGTTGACTTTTGTACTTTAAAAATAAAAAGAGCTGCTTTTCTTTCAGTGACAAATTTCAGCTGAGTGGCTTTGCATTTGTGCAGCATTTGCTGGTGAAGTACACAAAGACATCTTATTGAAATGAAAGCAGTATTTCAAGTTCTAGAAACATTTTACAAAAAGTAAACCCTGAAGATTGTACCTTGTGAAAAGGATTAATGACAATTTGGACTAGTTCCCTAGCTGTGAATAGACTTTTGCAAGTGCATATGAACAGAATTAATAAATATAACTTGAAGGCTTCGTTAGTATGCTTTCTAAAAAGCTTTGTAAATACGGCTTGTGGTTAGATATCTTGGGCAGGGCTTGTAGAAGTGCCAAAAGCTAAAATTGCCTAACAGTTTCCATTATAACAACCTGCTCTCATTTGCTTAAAATGTTGCTAAACTTAAGTGCAGTTCTAAGGACCTGAGGGCTGATGCTTCAGTACCATGGAGAAAAGCAACAGAAGAACCTTTCTGGATAAGCACAGAGGATATAGCTATGTGTGTAGTATAGATTAAGGATGATGAAAATGAGGAGATGGGAGCAAGGAGGTGGTAAAGGCATCTTGTAACCACACAGTGCAGGATTCCTCACTTTACAATATTCTGTCAAGTTCATTAACAGCTGAACCACAGTGAAAACAGACTACCACTACTGTTATTTTAGATATAGCATGTCCTCCTGGCAGCTGATGTAGAACCACACTGAAAGTGTTCTTATTAGCAGCAAGACCTTAGTATTAATCGGTGCTTGATGCTGCTGTTTATTTAGTACTGTGTAGTAGATCGTGGCTCAGTGTGCTGCTTCAGTCTTTGCAACATGAGGCAGAACTGTTCCAGAGTTTTTTGTCTCCTGTGGTTTAGCTACACACACAGTAACTTGGAGTGGTGCAAGATGATAGTGAACTAAATTCATGCAGGAAGTATGTAATGTTGTTTTGCATGGTGTATTTCCTGGAATCTCAATGTCAAAATGAAATGCAGCTGATCCTTAACTACCTGCTTTGGGTACTTCATCAGCCACACAGAAATCAGAAAACATTTCAGTTGGAAGAAAAACAAAAAGTGATTGGGTGTGTGGTGTCCTTATTTCCTGTACCAACATTACAAAGACAACTTTTGGTGCTGAGAGCTACAGCTTAAGATGTGTTCAAATATCCCTGTTGCACCACCACCCCCAAAAGGAATGTGGCCTTCTGACTTAACTCCCTTACTTAAGAGTTTAGCTTAACGTTAGGCATATGGGGCTTTGAAAGAGGGAAGTAACTTTTATGGGTTTTTGGTCTCCTATTTGGGAGGAAACAGCCTTTTCCTCATTATCAGATAATGAATTGTATATGGGCTCACACTTGCTTCAAGATCCTCTTGCATGTTACTGCTTTGCTCATGCTCTATTTTGATTTTTGTTGTTACTGATTGCTTGTCAGCATGACAGTTTTCTTTTGTATGAATCTTGTTTGCTTTTGCTCCCCTGCACAGCAGAAGCAAGTTTCTCAGTGATATTTTTGTGCTCCCAAATACAGTGCCACTTTTCCCACCTTGTAGGAAGCTATGGGAGATGGTCTTTGTCCATGGAAGGCAGGCACTTTGGGATGCTCTCTGTGATTCACAGAAATACAGCCAAACTTCTATATATAAAGTTATAAATGAAATGCAGCAACAAACAGGAAAGGGTGCTCATGCTTGATAAAGATGCTTACCCAGGTCAGCAGTTTGCATAATGCTCAGCTTACCTAGCCTAAAACAAACACCTGGAGTATCCTTTCCTGCTCTGCATAATGGAGAGGCTTATAATTCTGGAAAGATGACATTCCCTGCTCCATTAAATTACTCAGTAAAGGTGTTCTGTTCTGAGAGAAGAATGTAGAAGCCTGGTCTGAGTGTCTTGGCTTTCTGTCTTACTTGGGTGGCTGTGAGGAGGGAACTAGAACAGCCAGTTGTGTGAGCAAGGAGCTGTCACATCTAGTTAGTAGTTGTTGAACAGCTGAAGTGTATGGGCTGCATCAAGGCACTCAAGTCTGCTTTGAATGCTATTCAAAATGCAAATGTATTTTGGAAAGCTTGGTAGAGACAGCTGTCCTTAAACAGGAATAAAGCAAGAGGTTGCTTAGGTTTTTATCCCTAGTTAGAAATGGAATGATTGAGGCTCTGTTCTTATTTGCTGCCTTCTCACAGTGTTTTCATCTTCACCTTAAGGGAATGCCCCAGGTACCAGCTTATGAACATCCCCCATCTGTCCATGCTTGTGCATGCAAAAGCAGCATGACTGCTCATTCAGGTATTTATTTGCCCCAAACGGTAGGCCTGGGGAGTGGGTCTGCGCTTCCAGGTTTGCAAAGATCATCAGATGTGAGGTAGTGCTACTGCATCATTTGCCACTGATTCCAGGTCTGAGTTCCCACAGTTGTTAACTTGTGATGGGGCTGTGTGCTCCTGTTAGTGACTGGACCAACTTGTCCAAGGCTGCATGCAAAGATTATGTAGCACTACTCCAGGAATACTTGAATTGTTACCTGATGACCTTCTGGGAGGGGTATGACTGAGGTAGAAGGGGGGCTTTGGCTTACAGAGTGAAATAAAAGCTATTCCATACAATCCTACTAAGACTGCTTTTTTTTTTTTTTTTTTTTAATCCATACCTTTTAACAAACATGGAGAATATTGAAAAAAGTTCAGAGACATTGAGGTTGTTAAAGGGATAAGAATTCCATTTAAATCCTTACTCTTAAGCAAGCTATTCTGTGTGGTCTCCTCATGCTCTGTTCAGTCGCTGTATTTGCATAGCATAGGACATCTCATTGAGAAATGAGTTTCCTATGATCTGGAACTCAATGGCCAGGGGGCATAAGAAGAAGGTGCTTTTCCTAAGCTACTCACCAGCAGAGTTTTAGCACTTGATCTGGAAGCTACAAATTAAACAAAAATAGGGAACTTGTCTCCTGTTTCCTGGACAGCAGAGATGGATGAACTATACTTGAAATACCACACTAAATACTCTCCTTCTATGAAAGCTGGTACAGTATCTTGATGGTATCAGCTCGCCTGTATTGTACTGTCAGGTTAGTCTATTCTCATTCTGGAGCTGAAATGAGAACTATGCTTCCACTTACTGAGCTAAATTATTTTTTAGCCAACTAATTTTCTGGAACCATTTCAAAAGGTTTCTGGCTCAGTGTTACAATCAAAGCAAATATTCTAGAAACAAACTGCTTGTCGTGTGCTGCTGCAGAAGGCTCTTGAGGTTTTTGCATTCCATGAAAGCATGTGTTTTTCACCTCCACCTAACTGTAGATATACAAATTAAAAAAAATAATAATAAAATAAACACCTTAATTTGGTATGAGAAACTGTTAAATTCCTAATCTATGTAGTTGCTTGAAGCAGTCAAGGAAAAGGCTGTAATATGGAAAATAATTCTATAAGCTGTCTTTCTCACTGTTTATGCACATGTGGAATATTTGTAATGAAAAATGATTGTTTGCCCATTCTAACTCTAATGTGCTGAGGGAGAGAACTCTGATCCTCAAGAAGGGTGCAAGGAGGTCTGGTTTAACAGGAAAGCTCTTGTTGCACACAAGTGGAGTTATGGCTAGTGCGGTGCAATACTTGCAATTGCATAACAGAGGCAGTCAGAAGAAATGGAACCTGTGGAAAACAGCACAAAGAGCCTTGAAATATCTGAAATACTATGATGCTATTAAGTAGCTGCTGTCCTATACGATGGCAGAGAGAAATTCCTGGATTGTTTGGATGCATGCAACTTACATTACCAGCAGGTAACCCTCTTTTCCTTCTCTTCATTAGAAGACTAGTGGTGTAAAAGCTAGCTTCAGTTCTGAAGCTGTATGGCAGCACTGCTTCTGAATACAAGTAACTCTGGAATATGTAAGAGGATTTGAGTATACAAGAAATCTCACAAATGAGGTTAGTTTTAGCTATTAGTTTAGGCCCTCATGTAGGTTTTAGTGTACTGATTCCATTTACTTGGCATGAGGATTTATATACTATGCCTTGCAGCATGGCACAGAAATGGTCCTAAATACAGAATTGCCTGTTGGTTTTGAGATGGGTTTAATGTAGGAAAGTACTTATATTAGTAAAGGTCTCTCCAGTAGGGATTTATCTGGAACAGTCACAGTGAGAACCATAGTTCTCTGAAAGCAGACACTTACTTGGAGCTGTGAGCTGCTGGGCTCCAAAGTCCAGGAGTGAGCTCAGGCCTAAATAGGCATCAAGTGGGAAAGTGCAAGAACCCATAGTATTTGGATCTGTAACAAGCACAGTACATTCAGCTTGGTTGAGATGTGTGACACTTCTATTTCTTATATTGTTATGTATAAAATTTGGAAAGCGTGTTTTATATTTATTGCACAATAATCTCAAGTCTTTTTTTGTTGTAGGTTAAAAAAGAAGTTGGTGATGTCAGCATCCTAGTCAACAATGCTGGCATTGTAACTGGAAGGAGCTTTATTGAATCTCCAGATTCACTTGTGGAAAAAACTATGGAAGTGAACACAATGGCACACTTTTGGGTAATGCTGTACTTGTACATACACAAATAAACATCCTCCTAACATGTTTTCAGTATTAATTTTGCCATTTGGAATTGAGTAAAGTATGCAGAAGTTGAGTCAGAAATGATATAAGAAATTATTTTCTATGCCTTGGAGTATGTGACATAAAGAAGGGTGAAGAATGCATTCTTTAGGAACTTCTAGGTAGATAAATGGAAGAAAAACTGCTTAGCATTTAGAAATTCTTTTAAGAACTGAAGTTTTTCATTCTGCTAAATTCTTAAGCTAATCAGATACTATATCCCTCAATATTCATTGATGTGAAACAGGTCCAGCTTAGAAGTTGCTGCTCTAGCAACAGAAGTGTTGAATTCTGTTATTGTTCTAGTTACTTTGTGGTTATGATAGTTATAGTAAGAAATACCACGTGTCCAGTCAGCGTTCTAATACTAAGTAGGGCTTTTGTCCAAAATGAGCAACTTAATGTGCTTTTCCTCCTTTCAGGGAAGAAGGGCCATCTATGCTGTGTTCTTACTATAAAGAATTGTAAATGTGTCATTAAAACATGCTTTGGTTTCATCATAAATAAATTTAACCACAAAGATTAAGTAAATTTAGTTAGAAGGAAGATGTGAAATTCAAATTTTTGCCATTTTACAAAATTTGTAGTGAGTCTTCAATTTTCATTTGAAACAACATAGTGCTGAGCTTTAAGGTAAAAGCAGTTTTACAGTTAGCTGAAGCTATGTTTTCTGCTTTCAGCAAGTTGGCATCTGTCTACAGTGTTGAGAAAATGGGGCTGGTTGGACATAGAACATCCCAGCTTAGTTTAGCGTTCAAACAACTCTCTTGTATAATAGTTGGGAAGTTCTCACTAAAAGTGCAGGCAGAATTTCTCTACAAATTTCACCTTTGGAATATTATAGCAAGTACTTCACTTACTAATATGTTTCATTGCAACTCTGACTTACGTTGCAGACTTATAAAGCCTTCCTTCCAGCAATGATAGCCTCTAACCATGGACACTTGGTTAGTATTGCGAGCTCAGCAGGACTGATTGGAGTCAACCGTCTTGCAGGTAGGTATTAAAGCTGATGTTTGTTTAGTTAAACCAATTGGTTTGATTTAAACCCAGCAATCTACACTCATGAAAAAAGTCCTAACTGTGAGTCTCTGGGTTGTTGCATATAAGTAAAGCAAGTGGTGATACTTTCAAACCAGCTGGCCCTAGACATTTTGTTGAAAAAGTTTTCCAGATGCTCAGCAGTGCTGTGTAACAGGCTTTTCTAGCAAGGCAGTAAGAGGATCCAGAAGCTTCATATGGAACTCTGGAAACTGAGAACTTGTTATTGAAGTTGACCTACAGTCATTTGGTGGCTTAGAGGCAATTTTCTTTGCAGATATGTTCTCAAGCTATGCAGCATCCTGTACAGACTTCCCTAACTCAAACTGTTACTAAAATCCAATGTGGTACAGTGGTAGATACACAGTATCTCATTTTGCATTCTCTTTGTCATTCGTTGAGGAGAATCTACTCAGTGTTGAGATTACAGCAAACTGGAAGGAATTCCAGCAAAGTGCATGCAAATGAGGGGAAGGAAAATGAAATAAGTGGTGTAACAGTAAAAGAAATCTAGCTTCAAGATGGTAATAATGAAAACAAATAGAGCTGCAAGCTGATAACACTTAGAGAGTCTTGAAATCCTAAGTTTGAGACTGAAGAAACTAATACATTGATTCGATGAAATCATCTTTTCATGCCAGTCCTTATCTGCTGTTAGCAGATTAGTGACTAGGAAGGTGATAGAGATGTGATGAGAAACTCTCTGGCTGCCAGTCTATACCAACAGCTGATTTAGAAGAGGGAAAGTAAAAGAATGAGTCGCATCAAAAGCAAGTTTTATTAGTAGCCTATGAAATTGCTTCTTACTCTGTTGTGTTTTATTACAGGATAGTAATTTCCTGGGGGTAGCGTGTGTATATCATATCTGTGCAATTCTGTAGTGCTACTGTTTGTTTACTTACTAAAGCATAGTGTTTTCCCTCTTCTCTATCAAAAACTGGGACTCACTTTTTTAGTAAGGTTTGATAAATTAAAATGTTTAACTGCAATTACTGTTATATTTGTTTTACAGATTACTGTGCAAGTAAGTTTGCGGCCGTTGGTTTTGCAGAGTCCATTAGTTTTGAGATGAAAGTTCTGGGAAAGACTGGTGTTAAAACCACAACTGTGTGTCCTTACTTCATAAACACGGGGATGTTTGATGGCTGCAGTACCAGGTGAGTAAGCTTCTGTGATGATGTTAAGCAATTTGAACATGTGGTCTTCTTTCTTTTATGACACTTATAAGTTAGATTTTTCCCTGCTTGTGTTGTTTTAGGGCCTCTCAAAGATGGTATCCTATCTAGTGACTAGGCAATGTACGTGGCAAAACTTTCAGTATGTTAGTATTCATTTAAGCTGAAATGTAATTGATGTCCTTCCCTCTATTTCATTCCTTTGTGGAAGTCAAATGCTTCTGTTGTCCTGTCTGGTTTCCTTCATTCACCTCCTGAAGTCACTGCGTAGCTCTGCTCAGTACACTTATAAAATTACAAAATTCAGGTGCCAGATAAAAGCCTAGAGTGTCTTAATACATGGCTCTCTCTTGAGACACAAAGAAAAAATAACAACAACCACTTTCCCTCATTAGGCTAACATAACAAAGGTTTGCTGGTTCAGATGATTTATGGTATTTCTCTTTTAATTATCTGCAAAAATTGATACCTTGAGTAAAATGTCAATCTAAAGAAAGCTGTATTAAAATAAACATCTTCCCTTCTAGGTGGCCGCTTCTGCTCCCCATTTTAGACCCAGACTATGTGGCTGAAAAGATCATGACTGCTATTCGACGAGACCAAGCAATTTTGGTACTACCACGCAGTTTGTATTTCTTCTTTGCTTTGAAAAAGTAAGTTGTGTTCTTCCTTCTTTACCTCGCTCTTTTTTCTAAGCTGAAAATGTTTTGACTAAAAACACAAACTGGACTACTCCTGTACAGCGTGAACGCTCATTCAATTCTGTACATTTCTGGAGTTTTCTTAGTTTCTATGGGTTGGTTCTACACAAAATGATGTCAGAAATGTGTGACTGGCTTGCTGCCTCTGCTAGGGTGCAGTGTTACTGTGGGCTGTAGAAACTGGGCCTGCTCCTCGGGAAATGCATCACTAGAATCTTCGCCCCAGCATTAGGGCATATCTATCTCTTGCAAGCCAGGCTGGTGAACTGATCTAAGGTAATGAAGTAAGGCAGCAAAATGAGCATAACCAGTATTTTGTGAGCACTGGTGGAACTATGTAAGAGATTATAATTTCTTTGTGAGTAGTAGCCATGTGAAGTGACTTCTGTGATTTCTGTATAAACTACAAAAATCTTCTGAGATCTGTTTCTTCTACCTTGCAGTATCCTACCAGTGAAAGTAGGCATTCTCCTTGCGGACTTTGCTGGAGCCCTCCATTTCATGGATAGCTTCAAAGGTCGCGCGAAGAAGGACTGAAAATTGCACAAAACTCAGCAACTGAATAGCAGACCTTATTAAAGGTGGTGGTGGGAAAGGTCTGCTTCTCTAGCAGCTGTGAACTTAAGGTGCCTCACTTCTACTTAATAACATTTTTAAAGAAATTGATTTTTAATTAGCTCTTAATCAACAGCTTTCATGTGAGCTTTTTTTTATCCAACGAACTGTTTTCTTTTTCCCTCATTATGGAAGTAGGAAAATTGAAATGCATTCCTTTGGTAATATCTGTTATAATGCCTTAAATATAATTCTGCTTCACAAACCAATAATTAGCAGTTTGGGGGGAGATGATCTCAGGTCTCACGGGTGTGACAATGGATGCCTTGGGGAACAAAAGAATGTAAATGACATTTGTGCTGCTAATTGACTTCTTGTCTAATTTATTTTAAAAGCTAATACTATGCCTGCAACTTTGCAATGAAATCTTAATATCTTATGAGTGCAATATTTTAGGAACAATTTTAACTTTTAATCTCCTGTGTAGATATTGTAGTTACAAAGCATTACACCACTAGTAGAGATGGGATGTCAAACATCTTGCCAAGTAAGACAACAGAAATACCTTTGCTACTAAAGCCAAAGGTATTACATGGTGTAACTGGGGCTTCTCCTAGGACTGTTTCAGAAAGGAATGATGGTGTGTGAACAGTGAATAGGATCACTAGAACGATAGCTTGAGTAACAGCAGAATGTTTTGCTCCTGAATTGGGGAGCAGGCTGTCTTCTATCTACAGAGACTTGTTTTATTTGCATTTATTCTTAGGACTATCCTCAGGTATGCTGTGGGGGAGGCCTTCCTTTTTGACAATGACCACTTAGAGCCCCCCCCACTTGACTTTCATTAGACCCAAAACAAGAAAAAGGAAGGTTATATATTATGCTACTTATATATATGCTGGTTAAACCAGTCTCATGTCACAGTATTCCATTGGCAATGCCTACAAACTAAGACTATAACGTGCTTTAGCATGAAATTAATTGCAGACAGCATGGAGAAAGGGGTGATTGGGGGTTGGACTCAAGGATCTCTAGAGGTCCCTTCCAACCCCTAAAATTCTGTGATATAAAAAAAAAAAAGAATAAAAAACTTGTTTTCCCATGATGGCCTAGAAACTACTGTCATTTTTCTTGCCTATAATTAATGATGTTTTTACTGACTGAGAAGAGTTTAAGTTGAACTATTTTGCTAATCATGAGCAAGAAACACAGGGTCAAACAAGAATGTTAGAAGTAGCTTTACGGTTATGATGGATTGCTGAGAGGTAGAATTCAGACTGATAAAGAAAATTTGTCTCAGCTGTTCTCTCAGATCTTCTGTTTCAGAAATTCTGCTCAGTTTGCAGTTCAATTCAGGAAGTTGAAGTTATTAATTAGAAAATACATGCCTATAAATTCTGTCATGTGTACATAGCTCTATTTGCTAGTAATAAAATCAATCACCAATTTACCCGTGTGGTGTATGCATGTCTTGCAGGCTCCTCACCTCCTTATGTTAACAGCGTCCATTTTTCCTCTTAACGTGGAGGATCTTTCCTAGGAATGTGTTGGAGGAGAACGTCTCATAAGGATTTTACAAAATCACTGAGTTTGAAAGGTAGCTATACTTAAAGCAAGGTCAATCAGTGAGTTGCTCAATACTGTCTCCATACTCCAATAGACTCTACAACCACTGTCGGATGGCCTGTTGCAGTGCATGTGACTACACACAGTTTAAAAAAAAACTTATGTGGAATGTATGGTTTCTTTTTTTTCCTCCAATTTTTGTCCATTACCTCTTGTCCTTTCACTGGCTGCCATTAAGAAAAGTCTGGTATAGCTATTTAAAAACTCTGAAGGGAAGAGCCATCTGGAGTGGAGCTGAGGCAGTAGTAACAGTTGTATTGATCACATAAGCAAGACTCTTGTCCAGAAACTGAAACTACTTCAGCTGCACGATTAACAGTAATTTAGCTAGCAAGAAAAAAGCATTTTGTGTTTTTTTTCTATTCTTGGTACCTTTAACTAGCAATTTCTTTAAGCAGGATTATTCCTGAGAGCAAATTGACTCGGACAGAGTAGATGTAGGTGCAAACAGCTTCTCAAGCTATCTCATAGTCTAGGTTTGCATTTTAGAGATGAGGATCTGACAAATCAGTTCAGTCTGCTTGCTGACATAAAACTAAGCTCCTGTTCTGTATTTGTTTTAAAATGGAAAATGATGGCCCTATAACCTGTTTGCGCAGCTGGAAGAAATGGATATCATCATAGTGATCTAGGCAACTGGAGTTCACCTCTTACATTTCTGAACAGAGGCTTTCTTCATCTCAGGCTTGAACAGTAGCAAGAAGTAAACAAGCTTTATTGCAAAACAACACAGGATCTTTATTGCTCAAGTGTTCAGAGTACTAGCACAGGTGTGATGGTTGCTTTGTGTGACTGGAAGATAACATCCTGTCCTGTTGGTGATTTGACCTCCATAAATACCAAACATATCTAATGAGACAGCATGGCAGGTATGTAAAGATGTGTCTTGGTGGTCAAGAGAGACTTTTTCCATGTTCGGGAGAAGGTATGAGGTATGTGCTTGTATCTTTAGCTACCATATGAACTTAAGATCACAGATGTTCTCTTCCAGCAAGATGATGGTTTTATGTTCCTGATGCCAAGAAGCGCTCTTGCCTCCTGCACCCAGCAAGGAAAGTCCTCACAGAAAGATCTCTGTGAGACCCAAGCCAGAAGGTAGAACATGAAATGGAAAAGCATCTTAGTTGTGACAGTATCATATCTAACAACAGCATAGAGCTGCCTTTTGAAACACATCAGGCAACTCCCACAAAGAGTTTACTGTTTCTATGACTACTGTTTGAAACTCTTAATGCTGGGTGGGACCTCAGTCACTGCATTAGAACAAAGTTGACTGGGATGGCATAGTTGGCTTGACAGTCATTGATACAGTAACTCAAAGACAGTTCAGGATATGGTGTTGTGTTACCTGCTGCTACTTTCCTATGTGCAAGTTCATATTCTTGCGGTAGCAAAGATCTTACTACTCACTAATGCTTCAAAGCATGGAGAACACCATTTTCCTTGGTGCTGACTTGATTCTGAGAATGAGACTGAGGAGAAAATGAAAAGCTAACAGCTGAGATATAGGCTGTGTTATTACTTATTTTGTGAATTTGGTAATCATTTCCAAGAGCAATACACAGCTGTATGGAAGCTGGTCTTCACAGTCTGTTCTCATTTTAGGAAGGAACCAAGCAGGTACCTTTTTTCTGGTAGCTTCTGGCAGTTGATCTTTGGAAGACAGCCATGTCTGTTGTCCTGCTGCAAGGCAGGATAGGAGACCTCTGTCAGCAGATACAGCTAGCAGCAACAACCAAGGTTCCTGCATAGCAAACTTTGTCTGTTGGCACTGTAAATGTCACTGCTATTATATAGGTGGTGAAACCCTGGTGATGGTGCAGTTCCATTGGGGTGAATTTGCATTAAGTGCAAACTAAAAGAAGCTTGCTCAGAAATTAACATGGTGAGATATGATAGCTGAGGCATCTGTGTGTGCGGTCTTCAAAGAGTACTGCCTGGAAGTGGGAAATCCCGGTGGAGAGCTAACAAGGTGGGTCTTCCCTAGATTAATTTTAACAAATACTCATTGCATTACTTACTGATCTGTCTGTATATTTCTGGCATGTTAATGGTTGTCCCTGAGGCAATGCATCATGTACAGTTAAATTGCACATCTGATTCCAGTTATGCTACAGTTATTGTAAAACAGCATACCTGTGTTTTGGGAAGCTCCTAACTAACAATTTGGGCGAGAGCCGACAGTTCCAAGTAAAGGCTGTGTATCCAGAAGGAACAAATATCAGCAGAATTGCCAGGTGAGGTGCTTGAATAATTTCCTTCAGGATATAATGTGATTTCTCTGCTTTGGCATTGAGTCAGCCTGTAACAGCATGAGAGTAAGGCACCAAATTGAAATCTTCTGTGTTACAACTCCCTAAAAAATGAACGCCAAGTTAATTTCACACACACACAAAAATTGTAAGTACTAAAAAAAAAACATGCTGAGCTTCAGGTAATGCACTGAATGTTTTTCAGCCTGAAGTTTGTCTAAGCTGTACTTGTGTTTCTTTGGTATAGATAACACTGTACAGTTATGGATTTGCTCCACGTAAATGTGAATATGATTACACTTGAACTTAAGGCTAAGATTACCTGCATCTGATACAAGGTTATTCATGTGATTCTGTAGTGACAAGAATAGCATCTGCAACTTGTGGGGAAAAAAAAAGTTGGTGTGTATGATGTGCTTGAGTGTTGATTCATACTCAGGTGTCATTTATCTGTAGGTTTCTGAGTAAATTCCTTCTTAAACAATTAAGATGAGCACTTGTTTGAAAAAAAGAGAGCAAGATTAACATAGCTGACTGGAAATTGTGATGTCCTGTGTTTTCAGTATGGCTTACATCTCTAAAGATAGAGACAGTCACCAAATGAGTATGTTATTCTGTAATACAGAGTGAATGTAGCACAAGTATTATACTATATGCAAGTACTGTGTAATACTTGTGTGTAATACAAGTGAAAGTGTGAAGGGAATACTTGAAGCAGGTAGAGCATGCGTGTAGAAGTGATCATCATCTGTAGCAACAGTCCTGTCCCATGCTCTCTTATATTCTGGAATACCGTAAAAGTGTGTATACAAAATCACAAGCCTTACCATGAATATTTACACATTCTCCACCTTAGTCAGGTGGACCTCTGCATTTTTCTCCTTTTGATAGTGTTCTCTTAATACCAAAAAGAACACTAAAATTACATGTAGATCAAGGGAACGAGCAATGAGAGATGTTCAGGAATCACACCATTCCTTGGCTGAGGATTTTGAAGGAGATGTAACAGAACAATGAGCCATGCTTTTATCAACCAAATATGAGCTTTCTTCACAATTTTGAAGTATCTGATTCAGCCACTTTGAAATCCAGGGAATGATCCTGAAGAATCCCATGCTTACATTCCCAAGTGTGAACCATGAGAGCTTTTGAGTGGGCTCACTGAAGAAAATCTGCAGCTATCAGGGCTTTGTATTCATGCTTTCCACGTAATCTGCCTTATAAGTTACCCTTTGCCACAGGACCAGTCTCTAGATGGTAAACATCTACAAATATTTTTAGATAACATTTTCACACCAATAAAACTACAATCACTAAATTGTAAAACAACTGTAACCTAAACCAATGACTTGAGGTGGCGAAGAGTCTCAGAAGGGGCAGTAGCTTAAATGGTTCATTGCAGAGACCATTTGAGGGCAGAGAATGCTGAAAGGTTAAGTTAGTCTGTAATTACGGAAGTAGCTACCTTTCTTTCCCCACTGTGTAAGAAAGCTTTTATTTCTGGTGGGATGCACTGATAACAACTGCTAATCAGAGGCAGAGTTATCCTCTTACTTTACCCTGCATCTAACTTTCTTTATCCTACATCTAAGTTCCTTCAACCAACTGTTCATGGCACTGTGTCAGTAATGACTTACTAGCACTTCAAGATTTCTGGAAATTCCTTGGCTCTCCTCCTGTTACCACTCCCAAGTTGGAATACAAGGAAACTTGGCTGGAAAATATTAACAACCTTTGTGTTTTGTCTGCATAGAGAAAAGAATTGCTATAAATCAACTGCTGCTAGCTTGGATATTTTAAAGAAGATTAGCAGAATGAATTGATTTTTAAATTCCCATAAAGAATAAGGTTGTTCCACAAAATAAATTTTCTTAAAGGAAACAAAAACTTGTAAGTCTACATACATGTACACTGTGCCTGATTTTAAGATGAAGTTAATAGAATGCTAAATGGTTAACTTCATCAGTCTGGAGACTACTGGCAATTGTGACTGATGGTTTGAAAATGAATTTGAGGTAGAAATAATAATAAAAAAGGCAAATCATAGTCACAGTCAGTACGGTGTTGATAACACTTGTTTGGCTCTTATGATTTGTATCTGCTGTGATCCAATAAAGATCATAACTTAGCAGTGGCTTCCCACTGAGGGACTTAAAGTACACAGGATTATATACCATTTAGAGACATACGTTGTGCCCTTGCTTTTTTTTGCAAGTATCTGGATATCTGCATTTTGCGTGTGGTGACATTCTGAATATTACCTCTGCAGGTAAGAATTCCAAGAATCATCAGGTCCAACATCTACTAAAGCAGACAAATACAGTTTAATGTTGAAGATGTGGGATGTTCATGGAAAAATATGTGAAAGAATATCTTTGAATAAATCTCAGATATGTTCTGCAAACAATGTGCTTATCAAAAGATGACTCTGAAGGCTTATGAGAGACAGCAAGCATGGTTAGATGAGCAAACCTGGCTTGGAATTGTGCCATATGCTTGGACTTTCCTACACAAAAATTTTAATAACAAATCACACTTGTTCTAAAAACAAGAACAGAGAGAATTGTGCACTTGTTCATTTGGATTGATCCTGCCAAGTGATGAACCTTTGCTGCAATAGCATTGCTACAATGAGAAGTTACACAGACTCATAACTTCAAATAATCCTTTTTGGCATTGTTTTTCTCTGCTCTCCAGGACTGAGAATTTAGCCAGCAAAGTGTTGTCAGGGGCTTGCTGGAGGATTTTGTCTAAGAAGACCCCAACAATGAAGATGAGAAAAATCTATTGGGCAAGGGTGAAGAGAGGCTGAGATACTGCTGCTGCTATCCATGTGGGAGGGAGGAGAGCTGAAAATGGGCTTCTCTTGAGGATGGAGTCAGTCCCCCAGAATCTACTAAACTATACAACAGAGGCCAAAGTAAACAACATCCAGCAAGTATTTGCAAATGTAGAAAAAGCTTAGCTTTTCCCTCTGCATGTAGTAGATTCTGTCCTCTTGACAGCGATCCTCTGAGGGTAACTGTGATAATATTTTCTTCAGGTACTGAAGGAACCATCACTGGTTAGGCTAAGCAGTACAGATCTGCACCACATTAGGTGGAGAAGGAAACACACTGTATGTTGTCAAAGTTCACAACAGTGGCTCGGAGATGATCTTTTCTCAGTGCTTGCTTGCTTGTCAGCAGGGCAGCTGCTGTTACTGCTGCTGACAACAGGCTTACACTTTTCTTCTGGCATCTGGAGAAAGAAGGTATCAACACTGAAAGGAAGAGTCTAAAAGAAGGCAGTTGGACTGCATTAGTTAAAACTTACCGTGGTAAACTGGGTTTGGTTTGTATGTCTCACAAAGTCTGTTTGTTTACAAAAAACACTAAGATTTGTCAAATCATGACAATAGGTTCTCCATGCTTTTTTCCTGACAGCTGATTGGACATGTGCAGTCCCTATGGGGGAACAGAGGCTGGTAAAGTTTTCCATATGGCTTGTATTTTTTTTTCTTCTCTCTACCATCAACAATCTGGAAAACAGCTATTTGAAACTTCAAGATTACAGAACACTCTTCTACATGTGACCTCTTTTGGGAGACAGTCTCGCTGGGTGGAAATATTCTATTACTTTCCACGTTACCAACTGGAAAACAGTGAAACATCCCTGACCAGTATTTCTCTAGATGCCAGTGAGAAGTCCCCTGTATGGACCACTTGTGCACAAGGAACTGTTTATTAAAGAAGATCTCAAAACAGATGGTTGAAGTCACAGCAAAATCTGTGCAGATGATAGCAGCAAACCTTAATTGCAATGACTCTAAATAGGATGGCAGGGGAACTCTCCTAGCTGCAGAACATTTTTTTGCTGGTCAGCCTTGACAGCTCACCATTTCTTGAGGAAGCAGAGCCAATCTATTACTTTTAGCACTTCAGCAGGTGATTAACCAGCAGCTGAGTCATCCCTGGCCAGGGCTAGCACATCCCAAACCAGGGGAGGGGTGGATTGCTGGGGAAAGGAAGCACAACAAATCTTCCTCTACTAATTCATGCCATCTGGAAGTGACAGCCTGTGGGCCTACAGCTTTATTTGCAAAATATTGTTTACAATTTTTATTACAAGGACTATAGGGAATAAGACTTAATTATATTTAGCAGTTCATCATCATTACACAAACTGTTGTTCAGCATTCAGCTTCAGAAAACAGGAAGCAATACTCAGAAGATTGGTTTCTCAGGTTTTTTTTTTTTTTTCCAGACTATTGTTGGTAAGATGTCAAACAATTAGATGGGAAAACTGGAATGGAACCCAGTGTCATGCAGTTGGAGTCTTTTGGTGTGAGAGGGCTTTTTGGTGAGCCACAAAGGATATGACTGTTGCAGTCTTGACTCATCAATTTCACTGGTGATAATCCAAGCTTGTACGGGAGGTCTCTTGGCGCAAGAGTTTGTAATAGAAGGGCAACAAACACAGATGATCCACTGCAAAGCAGACGCTGTGCAGTGCCTGCAGCTCACGTGTTCCAGCACTTGCACAATCACTTTAAGTGCAAAATTACATAAAACCAGCATTAACCCTACCAGAACTGTTCTCCTTAAGCTGCAGGGTTAGCAGTTCTAATCAAGTGAAGGAGCCCACAAGTGTGAGAACTAGCATATGGCTGAAGGTGCATCTATGCAAAGGCAAAAGGATTGGTGAAAAGGGCAAGATCTCCACTTGGCAACAGGAAGCTGTTCAATAGCTCAGCTGTCCAATTTAGCTCTCAGTACAACACTTTGTTGCCAGATCTGAGCTGCAACTTTATATATATATTATCACTATCAACTAATATAAAGATAAGTTCCTTTCCTTACAGTACAACTAATAATCAAACACAAAATGCTGCAAGATAAATGTACACAGTGGATTATTCATTAACCCACAGTGGAAGAAAGCCAAATTCATAAACAAAGTAATACTTTAGAACACTTGGTTACAGTCAAAATATGTCTTGAATACTACTTTGATCTGTTGTTTCCATTGTAGGGAACCATCCATTGCAGTTCCACCCCGACATGGGGCTGGGTGGAATTTCTGCCATAAGTTGGGGTGAGCAAGTGGACAAGTTTGTTCTCTCAAAAGACAGACTGCAGTCTACCCTCAGGACAAGGGAACTGGATAAGAATGAGGCTCCAGGATTCTATAAGGGTGCATGAATGGATGCAAGATAATCCCACAGTCTTTCCTTTCTGCCTCTGCTTCCCCAGACAGGAGGAAGAGCTGGGAACTGAGTACGTGATGCAGGTTCTAGAGGAAGCTAATGAAAGCATACAAGCATCCAGTGTGATATCAAGAGGTGAATGTCAGGATATGGAGACAGATCAAACAGCTGTGCACCTCCATACTACAACCACAGCCTGAGATATGCTAAGAGCCCAACACTCATAGGAAAGAAACTGCCTGAGAGCACAGCTTTCCCTTCTGAGAATCTCATCTGAAGTGCAGCATGTGTGCCTGGAGCTACAAATTCAAGAGTCAGTGGCAGCACTGGGGATGCCCCAGGCCTATAGAACAGGGCACAGACTGCACCTTCCCTGCCCACACACAACAGCTGTGACTGAGGCACAGACTCCACATGCAGACTTGGGAGCTCTACTACCTCCAGTGCAAGAGAACTTCTAAGTGATATTCAAAAAAAGTGGAGGAGCTTTGGCCTAGATATATGCTTTTTTTTTTTTTTAACTAAAGAAGTCTGATTTTAGATTGGCAATAGCATTGTTTTCTGGAAGATTTTTTTTTTAAGATATTATTTAATAAAAACAAAATTTTAAAACAAAATACGCTGTTGTAAAATCTGCAAATACTCTCAAGCTATTCTATTTTTCCATTCAGTATCCTGTTGGCTTGAATTATCCTTATAAATGATACTAAGTTTAATAACATCCAAATAGTTTAAACAGGTCTCAAAGAAGAGGGGAAAAAATGCTTCATCTTGAGAACTGAAATGTGATTGCCTTGACAGAGAGGAAACCAGCACACAATCATATGCATTCACTGAACACTGACAAATAAGTGTCTTGAGGGTCTGGTTTTTATAGTACCTGAGAAAGAAGAGTACCCTTTATATAAGCTGCCTGTCAGGAGTAGAAAAATACTACTTGGGTTTCCTATTAGCATCTCCCCTGAATCAAAAAGTACTGCAGCTGTGCTGGAGGGCCAGAGGTAGACATTTTCACTTAATGGCAAAGCTGATCATTAGAGGCAGAATCATTAAGGCTGGAAAAGAGCTCTAAAGATGATCTAGTCCGCTAGCACAATACATTAGAATAAGAACAGTGATGCCTTCCAATAAATTCATTACAGATATGATTGAGATGTCTCTGTTGAGAAACAATAGGGGTAATACTGCTAAAAGAAATGAAAATTAAAATACAAACATAGTTTAAAAAACAGCGAGATAGCATTTTAATTTATTTTGAAGTGCCCAGTTCCACACAAAACCCAGTGCAGGAAGCCTGGAGCTGCTCCCCCTCCCTCCCCAGCATACCCTCTCTGGGTGGGAAACCCCAAGGCCACAGCTCTGCTCCTGCCCCCACCACACACTGTGAACACAGGTTGCTTAATAAGCAACCAATTGTACCATGCTAGTAAAAATACATTCTTGGCAAAGCACTTGATTTGGCTCAATCTCACTTGACGAAAAGTGGTTTATTAAATTAGGTCAATTTGCTTACCTAAAGTTCGCTGAAACTGTTCTTGCAATGCCACATGTTGAGCATCCTTCTAAAGGCTCACAGAAGAGCACCTGCAAGCTGCCAATGTCAGAAGCATCAATCCCTGACTGAACAGCAGCTTCTGTTTCTCTCTTCCAGAAATGTGAATGCTGAGCTGCAGATACATCACAAGGAAAATACACATGCATAAAATCATCCTCCCTGCAAGTGAGCACCTTATCTATACCTAATAGAGGATTGCAAAGAAAACCATAAGTGAAGACATTGTAACATTTCAGTTGCAAATTACTCTGATTTTAGAAACTGATGTCTGCTTGCCACCATTATACATATGCCAAGTTCATAGAATCACAAGGCTATTAAGGACAAGATCATTTAGTCCAACCGTCCTCCCATTACCACTGCTACCACAAGCACTAAACCATATCTCGTAGCTCCTCATCCAGACACCTCTTGAATGCTGCCAGGGACAGCAACTCCACCACCTCTCTGGGCAGCCATTCCAGTGCATGACCACACTCTGAGAGTCAAAGTTTTTCCTCATGTCTAACCTAAACCTCCACTGGTACAACTTGCGGCCATTTCCTTGGGTCCTGTTTGTTGCCTAGGAGAAGAGGCCAAACCCCCTCCTCATCACAACCTCCCTTCAGGAAGTTGTAGAGTGCAATGAGGTCTCCCCTGAGCCTCCTCTTCTCCAGACTAAACAATCCCAGCTCCCTCAGCCACTCCTCATAAGACTAGCAGAAAGTGCCCTCACCAGCACACGGGAACAACCAGCCTGCATTTCCAGACCAGCACAAACCTGTACCAATTGGGTCAAACAGAATTGCTGTGCCCAAAACAGGGATCACCTGCAAGTACCCACAGTTGGCTTCACAACAGCTTGTCCAGGAGCCTGATCTCCTGTGGCTGCCAATTAGGGAAGGCAGAGAGATACTGACTCCCCACTAGCTCCTGGCTAGATTTCCCCACACTACAGAACACAGAAGCACACTGTAAACTCCTCTTGTCCCACAGAAGCCCTAAAAGAGCTGAGGTGTTAAGGTATTTATTAACATAATTTATTCTCAGGGTTTTGAGCATTAAAATTTAGAGGGCAGAAAGCTGAAAAGTACTTCTAAAATATGGATAGTGACTAACTGAAGGGCAGCAACGAGGGATTGAAAGACAGCTGCTGAAGGGCATCACTGCAGATTCTGGCATCACCTAACACCCTGAAAAAAGAAAATGTCCTCCCTCTCATTCCCACATCAGCAGACCTCACAGGCACTCCTCTGGACTGGACCAGTGACAAGCTTACTCAGTAAACACCCATCCCATTTGCACTGTCAGTATGAAAGGATGCACTGCAACGTCATTCTCTGGGCACTTCTAATGCTCCAGATACTAGGAAAAAGTTCTCAAAAGAGTGGTAAGGCATTGGAATGGGCTGCAGATGAGTCCCCATTGCTGGGGTGTCCAAGAAATGCATAGATGTAACACTGAAGGACATGGTTAGTGGGCATGGCAGCAGCAGCAAGTTGACGGTTGGACTAGATGATCTTAAATGTCTCTTCCAACCTTAATGATTATGATTCAAAGCACCGGCTACTCACAGGCTCCAACTGTCTATAGATGGCCAATAAGCATGCACACCCTTAGGAATTTACAGTTTAAATTTAAAGAGACAAAAGCTTCTTCCATTCTGTACAGGAGTAGCCAGCCCAGAATCGTACGCTAACCATCATCTTTAATCTACTGAAGGAGTTGCTTTTGCCAGTCAAGTAGAAAAGAACTAAAACACAGCATTGTTTGGAGCCAGTAAGTCTGTTTGAACCCATCAGCCACCAGGAAACTTAGAGTTGAAGCACTGAAGGCTGACAAAACAAGAAATGGCAATTTCACAAAGCACACTTTACCTAAAGGGGCTTTTCCCAAACCCCTTTACCCCTTCACTACTTCCCATGCATTGAAGCAAGCACTGTGTTACTAAAATACTCCAGTGCAGCAATTTGGTTCAATTCCACTCCACTGGCACAGATTGCTCAGCGAAACAGAAGCCCCATCCTGGGGGATACACAAGGTTAGGTTGGATGAGGATCTGAGCAAACTGATGCAGTGTAGGTATCCCTGCTCACTGCAGGGAAGTTGGCCAGATGACCTTTAGAGGTCCCTTCCAACTCAAAAGACTGTATAATTCCATGATCTAAATCAGCAGAAGATACCAGAGTTCCTGCCACCCAAGTTCTCACGTGCAGCCTTGTCCACTTAAACAGTTACACATGGCCAAGAGCTGCTCAGCAGTCCAAACTGCAAGGAATTCTTTCACAGGCTTATGATCATTCATAAGCTTGAGATATCAACCTATTTCTACTATTAGTCTAATATCATCTTACAAGTATCTTATTTCCTTTCAGGACATTTAGTATTCCTTTTTTATCTTGAGCATAAGCTTTCTTGTTTGTTATTAAGGACCTTCTTACTTACTTTGAAATTATGGTCTATTTTGGAACAACTCTGAAACATAATTATGTTTTCAATTTACATCTCACTGATATAACATGGCTCACAATTATCTGTACATGTAACACTGAAATTTGATAGACTATAGTTCAATTTTAAGTACATACAAAAATCTGATCCTTGACCCCCAAGATTCTGAAATACGTAGTTTGGAGGCTTTTTATTTCTTGAACATGAATGTTGGGTGATGTTTAACTGCTTCTACTGAAAAGCAGTTAAAATGTTTTGTATTCTTCACTTCAAGTAAGAATAAATAGAGCACTGAATTTTGTTGTTGATTGGTCGGCTACTTTTTACTTTAAATTGCTGATCCATAGCATGCACAGAATGGTGTTTTGGAATAATTGAGAGCCATTAATCTTATTTTACAGGACAATGGATGACATCAATATTCCCTGGCACACAGAGCGAGGTATTGTGCCAAGAAAGTGTTATGTGAAACATTAAGAAAATAGAATACCCATCATCATCCTTGAAGGTACTGAAGTACAGGAATTTAACAGCACTCTCTGAAAGTAAAGGCTGAATTGAAAAGTCTTCAAGAAAAAAAAATACAAAATGTAGTGGAGAAGGTGTAAGTTAAGAATATTAAGTGTTGAGATACAAAGCACAGGTAGTAAAAGATGCACACAATTCTGTGCTACAGAAGCTGTTAGAAACAAGAGTATCTTCACTAAGAGAGAAGAAATGTACAGTAAAAAAAATAAAAGAGAAGGAACTGTGGTAGTGCTCATAAAATGGTACAAAGATTTTACAGGTAAAACACAAATTTGGCATCAACTGAAAGCGTTTGTTTTAATAGTAGCTTCAGGAGGTGGACCATAGCTTGTATCCATTGAAGTAACTCAGATGAAATAAAAGGAGGCAACATGTTTTTCATACTGAAACCAAAACTAATTGCTTGAAAAGTAGCAAAGATTAAGCAGTTAGAGATTTTCATTCTTGTTTCAAGTCTGCAAACTGCCAAGGCACTTAACTGTCAGGAAATGTTTCCAGTGTACAGCTGCTTATCTAAGTAAGTAAAACAGTAGTCCAAGGGTAGCAGCACTTCAATGTGCAAAGCAATGACAAAAGTTAATTCAGCAACTAGGTCGGAGTTTCAAACAAACAGCAGATTGTAGAACAATTCCTGAAATAGATTAAATAGATTAGAACTGGGGCTTCAGATGGAATCTGCTCAAATTGTATACTACATCCTCGCACAGCCCTGAAATAGGCACTGTGAATACGAGTAATCTTTTACAGGCAGTGATGATCTAGGAGTAAATTGGAAGTCAACTTGGCAGAAGTGGAAAACTGTATATAAAGAAATAAAGACAACAATTCTAAAAATTAATTTTTAAGAGGATGTTTTTAGAAAACAATAGCTGTATGCCTAACTCCAGTGACTATGAAGATTTTATTCACTCTAAAAACCACCAAAGGAAACCCATCTTATTTATGGAAGACTCATGCTACTCCAACTTCTCTGGTTTTGTAAAGTAATATATAATAAATTGCAATGACTCCCACAGACAACATAAGAAGAAAGTGTTTGGACTCTACGATCCTTGTGAATCCCTCTCAGGTCAGGATAGTCTATGATTCTACAACCGAATGACCTCACATCCCTTCAGAAGACATTTTCTAGGGAAGGAACTGTTAATAATGACTAGGTCAGCCACTGTGTTACTTCAGGATCTGAAAGACAATTATCTGTTGTGGTTCTCAGCCTCAGAAGTTTCAGTATTATGTTTCTGCAGTGCCACAGCTGCGTGCAGCATTCTACAGACTGCTGCTGAAGGAGCTGACAGCCCAAATTAAACACAAAGCACCGCCATAAAACAAATCAGACTCAAAAAGCACTTGAAGCGCTATCAGAACTTATAAGAAAACCTGACTTTTTCACTGCTAACTGAAAAGCTGTTCAGTCAGCATTTCATATGGACAGACATCTCATCTTGGAGTTTGCTGCTGGAGGAAGACTTTCTTTTTAATCCCTGGATGCGAGCTACGGATGGAGCTGATGGATGGATGGTTTTGGGGCTGAAGGGGAAGCTAGTGTTGTAAGAAACAGGTAAGCAGGAAAGATGTTCCAGGCAGAGTTAGCAGAAATCAGTTGTGAAAGTGAAGACTGGCAAAAGGCAGCCAAGGAAGAAACTGCTGTAGAATGATACCTCCACAACAAACTTGACACCGCATACATAGATGTTGATCCTGAAGTTATAAGACAAGATAACAAGCAAATCGATTAATAAAAAGCAAGAAAGCAAGAGTCAGGAGATGAAATATTGTACATGAGAAAAAAATCCACAAAACTGAAGTCATAGGAAAATGGGAGTGTAAGGGCAGGATTTGCACCAGTGCAAGGAAAAAGGCTGACATTATTCAATGAGATGCTAAGAGGGAAGGCAGGCTAATTTTAAAATAGTTTCAGGTTAGCTGCATTTAGTTCAGCATCAAGTATCAAGTGCAAAGTAATCATGTGATTTAAAGACTTCACCTGTATTGAAGGTGTTAGAACTGCAGTCACTCACAAAAGGATTTGGACAAAGAAGGCACCAAGATAGAACCCTAAAGGATGGCGAGAGAATTTATACAAAATCTGATGGGTCTTAATTATCTATAGAGACAGATAAAAACATACTGAAGCCTTAATAGTCCATTGCATTTAGTGGGTGTAAATGTAGTACTTCTGCAGTTTTCTACCTTACAGGTAGCAATATTAAAAAATATCTGAAGTAGTCAGATCTATTACTTTCCATACTTAACTAGTCAGAGAAGACCAAGAACACCCAGAGCTGCAGCACATGCAATGACCTGCCTATCAAAGCTTCACCTACTGAACCCAAAGATTTTAGGGACTCTGGAGCTAAATGACTAACACTTACAGGTACACTAAGTCACACCCACCATGGGAACAAAAAGCATCACAGTAGTCTTGCACTGTAGGATTACAGGAACCACAAGACAGTAAAACAAAGACACATCTGGACATTCACCTGGGCCTGGCAGAAAGCCCAGAGCTACTGCTGGTTCAGTGCTCAGCTCTGAGCAAGAGACCGCAGTGGAAAAAAGATACTCTGGAGAACCATACTTGAAGGCTTCTCAGGATACACAAACTTTCTATCTCCAGCATTTGACTCTAGACTCACACTCTCCTCTTCTCTTTATAGCATAGAGGCAACATCCAGCCTTCCTTTCTCCTGAATGAATTTCAGGTTTTAAATCTGTGGAAGAGGCTTAACAAACCTAGAAAGACAGCAGTGGTTAGCAATGTTGTTTTCATGCAGTCTCTGTTGTACAACAGCACCATCCAGCTGTCAAACAAAAAAATGAAACAGTTCACCACCACCATCCAGACTTAGTTTTGTACCACAAAAAACTAGGAGTTAAAACTAGTAAACAAAACCCACAAAAAAAGTCTTCTCTTTTCCAAATGAATTGCATTGGTCCTTTATGTTTTGTTCCTGTGTTAATGCAGAAGATTGTGTGCTTGCTTTAGAGAAGCAAGGAGTCCAACCCAATTTATTTCTGCCCAGTAGGTCTGGCAGTCTACAACTTACCTCAGTGTTTGATATGCAGAATATCAACTCTCAGACACAAAAGACCATTACCTTCGGCTTACAACCAAAGACAGTTAACCCTGCTACAAAAATTAACCAAAAAATTGTTTCATAAATAACAGCTTAAGTTTTTTGCTATCATAATTTACCACTCCACAGCCTCAGAAGTGAAACTAGGAACAATAACCTGAAACGAATGGAAGAAAACAAAGACTCAAGCTTCACTAATGGATTACATTACATTATGACAAAACTTCTTGCTTCCCCAGATTTGTTCTAAAAAGAAATTTAATAAAGCATGTGCAATACACAACTGAATAAGCAACATCCCTCACAACAGATAACTGTTACCTGAACGAAATTTTAAGGTCACCACTTACATTGCTGCCACTTCTTCATCAAAAAAGATCAGGCTTGCCATAGAGCCTGAAAGGAACTTACCTTGTATGTCCACTGATGATCAGAAAGTCTAACACTAGAGAATTGCTCTTGCATTACACATGCCTTAAGCTTGCCCTGCAATCCCATATTTTTGCACTGTGAAATAGCTCCAGCAGAGAATACATCTCTTCCTCTAACTTTTTGAATTCGAGTCCTAGTTCTTTAGACACAGTATAGCAGATACCTTAAACTGCCACACGTCAACCATCCTTTAAGATAAGGAAAAGAGCAGAAATTCCCCCAGGAAACATTAGCAGAAAAAAGTGGAAATGTAAAAATCCACTATGAATATGGCTATTCTTACACTCACACCTGAAAGAAAAATCTCAGGATAAGTGAGACAGATTTAAGAAACTTGAACTCATGAAAGAAAACAGATTTAAGTACAAGTCCAGAACCGGCATGCAGCAAGAAGAAAACTGCAAGCATTAGAATAGTAACTAAAGCCATAGGAGCAAAGACACCATGCCTAAAGATGCAGCAAAGGTGCCAAATGACAAACTTGTGCCAAGTGGGAGAGAAGGTACACTCAGACAAGCAAAGCAGCAAGACTAGAAAAGTCCAGAGATGCAATAAAAGACAGCCAGCTAGCCAAAACTCAGAGAGTAGGAGGATTAAATAAAGGCATGGCCACTGAGGAAGCAGCACCATTAAGCCTAGCTAATGAAAGCAAGGAATTCTCCACTCAGATGGAGAACACGGGATCTTCAGGAAGAAGAACTGTATTAGAAAGTCATTGCAGAACTAGATCATTAGAGCAGAGAAAGAACAAAGTTACTAGAAAAATGTTGGAATTGGAACAGGCTAAAAACGTTCAAACTATTAAACAGAAAAATTTTTGCCAAACTGGAAAAAAACTGCTAAACAGGAGGGTACTGAAAAAACTTACAAGTGGTGGGCAAGGTAGAGTCTCTGAATCTAGTATGGAAGCTTCTCCTCTGCTCCAAACAAAAACACAATCACTGACAGCAAAGTTTGAATTTTAAGTAGAGGCAAAATAATCCAAAATAAAGAATCTCATGATCTTCACTGAAGAAGGTCTACTTCCCTTGCCAGGAACACACAAGAGAACTTATGACATGGTTTGGAGGCCAGACAGCTATTCTCAGAGAACTGCGCACTCAAGAGGCATAGAGTTACACTCTTTCCAGTAACAAAAAGGGCACGATCAACCCGCTTCAAAACTCAGGTATAATAGGAGAGCAGCCAGAAAGACAGGAGGAAAAGTAGATCCCATTAGTTACTAGTCGGTCAAGTGGCAATGGGGAAGGTGAAAATAGCATAAAACTGCTGCTAACATAGAAATAGGCCTTGAGTGGAAAGCAATGAGACAAGCCAGACAGAGGGAAAAACAGGAAGCTATGAAGTCTTTCCAAAACAGTCTAAATAGAGAGACAACACTTTTACACCATCCTCCGAGAGGTCAGCCAGAGTTCTGCCAACTTAATCGCAGTATGTCTTAAAAGGTTTTCATATGGAACTTGAGCTCATGACAGTGGTTTTTCCATTTTACCACAGGGTGTGATTTTTTTTTTTTTTTTAAGTCAGGACACCAGAAAATACTGAAGGTAAAGAAAACAAGTGTTTCTAGACAGCAATCTGATTACATTTAGTAGTTGCCCAGTTTAGATAAGGAATCAGTCTTAAGTAAGACTGGAGTAGCCTAATCAAACTGAGCTTTGTAGTCTCGTATGAGTAAGCATTTCCAAACCCAGGGCTTCAGCTGTCCAGAGTCTTAGATAGATGTACTATAGTTAAACCTGCTATGTCACTCCAAGTGCATGTTTACATGCCTACAGAGTCCCCAACCCCCTCCAACAGCCAAGTATCTATTTACTATCCACCAAAGGTACTATTCAGCAGAGATGAGTTCAGTTCCATCTTCACCAACCCGTCTAACCTTGTACCAAGCAAAGCCTGCACATCTGATTTATAGCAACCTCTGCTCACACCAATTGAGAGCTGTAAGTTTTCTGACAGCTTGTTGGATTTGGGATTTTAGTTCATGAATAGTGTTATTTAAAGAAGGGACACTGAAAACAACTCATGAAAACAGTGACAGGACTACCCACGATAAGCTTAGAATATTAGTCAGAATAGCTGCATACAAGAGACTCTGCACATACTAGTCCTTTACTAGTCTTTCTAAACATACTCAGCCTTTACAACTATTAGAAAAGTTAGAACTTAGAACTGCAAATCTTAGGAGTCTTTAGCATTTCACAGCATTTAGCACTTCACACCATGTTAGCCTCTACTTCCAAGGTGTCTGGACAAGCTGTGTTGGTACCCATGTCTTCTAGTGAGACACTAAACACCAATGAGAAACAACACAAATAGAACTAGTCCTATCTTAGAAAGCTCACACGCTTTGAAATTTAGGAGCTTACTTTAATCCAAGATATGGCAACAGTGAAGTCCAGTTTACAAGAGAGCAACCTGCTGCTGACAAGTCCTCATATGTACAGGGAAAACAGTAAAACAATGCAAGTTTGTAGTCAGTATGGCTTCTCTACCGATTCCAAGATTTTCTTTCTCTCTTCTGCTGAGGGCATCTCCGGTTTCACACCATTTCTTTTCCTTTGCATCATAATGTCATGCTGAAAATAGAAGAAAGCAAGCATGAGAACACATTTCTCAAAAGTCTCTGCCCCTGAGCTCCCGCTGAATAAGATCCTTCAACAGAAGTACTCTTATATACAAGGAGCCAGATACTCTAGATCTGATTAGCTGACAACTAAACTACTAGTATTTAACTGAAGCTATCTGATGCTCACCTTGCAGCTTCACATTACAGCATTCCCATGGCACAGACGACTATGCAATTGTCTGTAAACAGGTTTTTTTTGAAGTTTATACAAGTATTTAAAGGTATAAGCTGAAAGACTATTACAGCGGCATAAGGACTAAAGATAGCAGAGAACAGTTGAACTGCATGGGATCGTATCACCCATACCCATGTGCACAGAAGTGCCCAGTTCCTCAAGATCCTTTCCCACCATAATACAGGAAAAAAAGAAAATGAAATCACCACCAAACAGTGAACTCTTCCTGAGAGTTATCTTAGGTTGAAGCAAACATGAGCCAAAGCAACAAAAACAGATCAACTTGTCTTACCTCTCTTTACTTACTTTACTTGTCTTACTTTCTTCACGTGCACTTAAAACAACTTACTGACAAAAATATCTGACTAACTTGGAGGGAAATACACTGCAAGAACACTGACTCACGATTTCGGAAAGTAAGTTTAAGTCTCCCGGCAGCACACACTAAATATCTAGGAATCTAGCACTTTCAGGAGAGCATAAGAACAGCAATTCTTATGAACAAAGAGTTCAGAAAGCACTGTCAGAAATACACTCAGAACAAGATAAGTAGTAAAATTTAGAAAAAAAAAATCTATGGTGCTTAAGGAAACCTGCTTACCCAGAATTTTCTGCAGTTTTTGTACTTCAAAAAATAATCAGTACACATATCCTTTTTATAGTTGTTGTCATCCATACATTTTCTAGAGGCATCTGTTTCCTTTAATAGGAAAAACAAGCTTCAGAGCTGAGAGAAGTTACTGTACTCAGTGTCTAACAATTCTAACAAGTCTCAGAGTATCTATGAAGATAGGAGACAGCTTCTCAGATGAATGAACTGTATCAAAGGGAACATCTACCAAAACAGATAATCAGTAATCCCCACGCAATTACTTCATTTGGAGATTGTAACAAACATAGTATTCCTTAAACAGTAAGAAGAAAGTCCACAAAATAGTTGTTTACAGAGATCCATTGTATAACCCATAGAAGAATATTAAGATTATCCACCAAGCTTGTCTAACTGGGATTTTATGGACAGAACAATAAAGCAGTAAGTTGTATTACTCCCATTTATAAGTAACTACAGACTGCTGTTATTTCATATGTACTTTACTATGCGTGCTTTTCAGTCTTTCCCACTTTCAGGCTCTAAGAAACATTCAGTGTATACTATTGATGCAGGAGTGCTCCCAATAATGCAATTTCTAGAGGAATTATTTTTGCATTTTGACCTAGAAACATACAAACAGAAATCCCAATTTGATCTTACCGCTATGCAAGGATTTCTGTCATGATCTCTAAGCTGCTGTGCATACTTGGGCATTCTAGACACTCGTACCCTGGCTAGAAACAGAGAAGAAATGAGTTAAGTATCAGCTTTTAATAGTGACAGAGTACTAAGTTTGAACTTCAGCATCTAATAAAGGACTTCAGTAGTGCACACAAACAGGTTTTGTGGGTTGGTTTCTTCTTACAGGTTTTTTTTTGTTTGTTTGTATTTTTAAGTAAGCTCCTTTTGTGAAATACCAAAGCACCAACAGCAAGACACTCAGGCAAGTTTAACCTATCACCAAGACTGCTTGCACCTAGATAAATTCCTTCAGAACCACCAAAGGGAGCCACTCTTCTACTAGACTACCACATTGAGAAAGGAAACATCTGGGAGAAACAGTTTCGTGGAAACTCTTCAAACCAATACACTTGAGAAACCTCAACAAATACAAGAGGGGAACAGATCTGTCCCTAGTCCTTAGCTGGATCACATCATGCATCTCCACATGCACAGAAGTGCCCAGCCTCCTGCTGCACCAGACAATTAACAAAGAGAAATCAATCCATCGTAAGGAGGACCAGATTTCCCTACACCATACAGAACAGCTTGAATCACATTTTTCAGCCATTCACTAGTTTGACACAGGCTCTAGGAACTGTAAGCTGAAGAGATTCCAGGGCCAATAACCTACAGTGATCCAAGACGAGGACATCAAGAAGAGCAGCAGACCCTTGCTGCTCCCCATGCATTGCCTCTGGCACAAATGTGGCCATGCAGGTATTTGTTCCAGATAGAACAGTTCTAAGCAGAAATACAAACTAACTTGATCAAATGCTCACTTGAGCCAATGCAAGCAGAAATACATGACTGAGAAAGAAACACCTTTGCAAAAAACTGAAGTACAGATATCCTTGCTCAACCTTATTTAGCCTTGAGGCACTGCTGCAGTTTGAGCTTAAGCTTCTTTCTGTTCACACTGGTGACTGAGAAGCACAGGTCTACAGAGAAAATCCACTTCTGCTTGAGATCAATTAAAAAAAAAAACAACAAACCAAACACTGTCATGAACTCATGTAGTACTTTAGATGAAGGTTCTCACTCGGTGAAGAAGGAAGATATTCCATGTGAGCAAGTCTTAGATCTCCATCCCTTGTGAAACTGTATTCACAAGGTACTTGAATTATTTTCTGCACTCCACATGGCAGCGCCTGCTGTTTTAGAAAACAGCATCAGGAGCACCTTCAGCTTTCCCCACGGAACTGCTGAAGATTTGAGGTGCCTTAAACAAGCTAGGCAAGTGCTAACTTTTGTTAGCACAAAAGGATTCGGGTGAAAAACTTCTGACTGAAATGGAACCGCACACATGTAGAACAGCAGCATCATCCCACTGCGAGCATTACCAAAGCAAGTACGTCTGAAAGTGTTTGGAGCCTTCAGCTTAGAACTCCTCTGGAAGAGTAACCGTTAGCCCCAGACACACCGACATCGCTGCTCGCTACCCAGACCGCTGTCACCACGTTCGGTTTGACCACACCGCCGGAGCCCATTCCCGCACGGGGCAGCGGAGCGCACCGTACCCACTTCACAAGCACTCAGGTCGGGCTCCCCCGCACGTACACCTCGCCCCCTCTCCAAAGCGCTCTCAGCCGGGAAGGGCAGGCGGGTCACGCCGGAACGCCGCCTCTGCCCGAAGGGCGGCCGGGCAGGAAGCCGCCCCACGCCGCCATCCCCTGCTATGCGCGGGCTGCGGCTCCGAGCGCAGCCACCGCCAGCAGCTCCCGCGCCGGGCTCCTACGTTCCAGCACGCCGGCAGTCACGAGCCACGCCGCGCAGAAAGCCGCCTGCCGCCGGCGCTCCTTAACCTGAGGCTCCGTCAGCCCACCGGCATATCCCCCCACGGGCTCCGCGCTACTTTCTTAAACGCACGCGGCGTATTAAGCCGCAAGCCGCGGGGCGAAGCTCGCACGCAAAGCCCGCAGCCCTTACCGCTGTAGTGCCGGGCGGGAGGCTACGCGGAGCCGCAGGGCCGCGGAACGGCGCCGAGGGCGCGGGCGGCGGCGGGGCCCGAACGGCGGCGGGGCTGCAGTGCCGCAGGGCCGCAGCGCGGCGCCCCGCTCCCCCCGCCCCGCGGGCAGCCCCGGCCCCACCTGCCGCCGGAGCGGAGCGCCGCGCCCGGCCCCGCCGCCGCCCGCCCGGCCCCGGCGCCGCTCGGCCGTCGCCCGCGGAAACGAGCGAGCCCCCGAGAGCGGGCGGCGAGCGCCCGGCCCGGCGGCGGCACTCACCTCCGTCCCCGGCCGCGTCCGCGGGAGCCCGAGGCGGGAGGGGGACAGCCCCGTCTCCAATTCGAAAGACGTCAGCGGCTCGGGCAGAGCGCTTAAGTACGGGCGCAGCCTACCCCGCTCCCGGCCTCGCGGCTCCCCCCGGCCCAGCGCCGCCGCCGCCCACGCCCCGGCGGCGCTGAGTGGCGGGGCCGGGCGGCCAATGGCGGCGGCGGCGGGCCCGCCCCGGTCTTGAGCGGCGCCTCCTTCCACCAACGGGGCGGGCGGCGCGGGCCGCAGGCGCCGGCGGCGGGGCGCGGCCGCGGCGCTGAGTGACGGGGGGAGGCGTCCAACCCGCGGTGCGTGTGGGCGGCGGGCGGTGTGGGCGCGGCGTGTGCGGCAGGCTGGGCTGCACCGCAGCGCATACACTACAATGGCTGCTGGAAGGACGGGAAAGCAAACAATTTCCAGGCCCGCCGCGTCCAGCCCGAAATATGGGGAAAAAATTACAGAAAAATCGGAGAACACTGTAAAGGGTGGAAACGGGGCGCAGAGGGGATGCTGAGGCTCCCGCGGTGAGTCTGCTGCGGGTTTGGGGGGCAGGCGCCGGGGTTTAGCAGGGAAATATCAGGGTTATTTAAATTATGAAGGGGGAGGAGGAGAAGGAGGGGGGAGAGGAGCGAGGAGCGGCGAGCGGCGAGGAAAAGTTGGTGTTAATCATCCCCGCGTCCATCCTTCTCCCCCCGCCGCCCTCAGCCCCCGCCGCCCCGCGCCGGACCCCCCCCCCCCCCCGCCCCGGCGGGGGGAAAAAACAGGGGAGGGGAGGCGAGCGCTGCCCCCCGCCCTCCTCCCTCGGAGGGAGAAAGCGATGATTTTCGGCAAAACCTCTCTCAGGAGTTTCCTCCACTCCTCCCCTCCCTCCCCGCGGCGCTCTGGTGGTTCGCGAGAGAGCGGGCGAGGCAGCGCGCTGCCCGGGGCCGGCGGGAGGGAGGGAGGGAGGGCGCGGGGTGCCCGGCGCAGACCCCCGCCGGGGCCGGGGCCGGGGCAGGAGCGGGAGCCGCGCGGCCGCCCCCTCCCCTCCTCGCCCGAGCGGAGCCTGTGCTGCGAAGGCAGTGACAGCGGCGAGAGCGGCGAGAGGGAGCGGAAGACATTAGAGGCGGCGGTGCCGAAAAATGAGGGAAAAAATTAATATAAATTCGCCCCCCGCTTCAAAGCGGCCGAATTTCGCACAGAAATTTCCCCCGCGGACCCGGCTACCCGGAGGGGGTCACCCGGCCCCGGCGGCCGCCGCTTTGGGGGGGATCCGGAGCGACTTTGGGGCGCTCGCCCCCCCTTCCCCTCGGCTTTTTGGACAAAAGTGGGGTTTTTTTCCGGGGTAAAGCAACGAATTTGCCCGCTCTTCCCCTCCGGGTGGCCCGGGAGCCTTCCCCTGCCCCATCGGCGTGTGTTGGGAGCACAGTGCGGAGCCGAGGAGCGCCGAGCCGGGCTGCGCTGGGGAGGGGGATCGCTAACTGAAAGCAGGAGAGATCCGGAGAGAGAGAGAGAGAGAGCAGGGACAGCTTGTTGTCAGTATCATAAACAACCAAAATGGAGGGAGAACTGAGGCATATAACAAAATAAAAATCAGAAAAAAATGCCAAAAAATACCTAAAAATCGGGGCTGCTCCTCCTTTTCCCCCTCGAGGTGACAGGATAAAACCCGGGGCTTCCCGAGGCCGTTTTCGGGTTTCAGGGAGCAAGGAGTTAATATTTATTATTTTTTTTTTGTTGATGAATTCTTTGGGAAGGCAAAAGCCTCCTCTCACTCGCCACCGACAATGGGGAAACGTGAAAATCCCTTTCGGGAGGCAGAGGTAGGGGGAGATGGGAGTGCAGAAAGTGCACAACTTTGGGGCAATGCGCAGCGATCCCAGATAAGATAAATGCTGCATGTGCTGCTGGATAACTTCCCTTTTTAATGCTTTTCGGGTGTTTTTGGGGGGGTTGGGTTTGGAGGTGGGGGCTCCTCTCCTTTTCTCTGCCTTCTTTTTCTGTCCTTTTTATATTTTTTTTTTCGGACCGGAATGCAGTGCCTTTGTAGTGTCACTTTCCTGATCTAATTAGGATGTGTGAGGCAAAGTGTAAACCTTTCCGGTTTATGAAGTGCGTTTTCGTTGCCTTTCAATCTCGAGTTTTCCTGGTGGCTCCCTCCTCTCTTTAAACTGGATCCTGCGGAGCGGTGTGGGGCTGAGGTAATGCTCCACGGGGAAGGCTCGGTGCTCCAGGCAGGCACCCCTCCTGCTCTGCCTGCTGCCCTGCCTGCCACGTCCCTTCACCTGTCTGCGTCCCACCAGGCGGGCATTCTGCGCTCCCCTCGTTGTGTTTATATGAAATGAGGATGCCTCATCTCGCCTCACGTTGAAGTTAATGCGAAAGTGCTGCTGATGTTGGTTCCACGTGGGATCAGGGCATTTTAAAGAGACAGCTTCTCTTTTCCTATGGTTCTCAGCGCCTCTGCCTATGGCAGACGGCTGGTTCGTTGGTTGTTTTTTTTTTTAATGGGAAGGTATCAAATCAGCCCTGGTCTGAAAAATTAACCATAGATAACAGGAGGAAACGCTCAGATTCGTTTGGATCGAAGCGATTCTGTTGTGCGTCACGAGGCTTTTCTTGATGTGTTCATGAGAAGGCTGTGTTTTGGAGAGCTCTTTCTGGAGTGGGTGTTGCAGGAATGGAGGAGTCCCACGTTGTTACATTAAAACCTGACCTTGCTGTGCTACCTGCGAGCTCCCTGGGAGGAGACCCTATGCGTGCAGCGCGGTTTCGTGGCTCTTCTGTAGGAGTTGCAAAGTGCATTATTTTTACTGTAAATAAGTTCAGTGTCATTGGGGACACCTGAGTTTGTTGAACAGCATTGCGGCCCTTGTTGTGCGCTTAAACCTTCTGAGCAGTTCCAAAAGGTTTTGAGAATGGTGCAAATAACTGTAGGTTTTAATTGGCCGAACGAGGGGCTTTTTTTTTTTTTTTTTACAAGTATACACCTTGGCTGTGTAACAGCATCACTTGGGAGAATCGCCTCTGGCTTTGTGTAAGAAAAGGAAAAATCATCCTAACCGAGGTCTAGTTTCGTGGCATACGTATGCATCCGTGTGTGCACGCGCACTTCTCGCATCCATTTGGGCTGGTATGGCTTTTCACTTGATTTTTAACTTGAAAATGTTGAAGTGTCACGGTGTGAAACGCTCTGCTTCTTTGGATGATCTCCTATGGATTGTGATTTTCAGGAAAACAAGCTGTTTTAAGAAAATTAGCATCGCCTCTGAGCATGGCGATTCGATATCTTTGCGAGGAGTTACAGCGTTTCCTTTGCACGTGCTTTGTTTTTGCGGTCTGTGTTTGCTTCCAGGTTAGAAATGGAACGCAGGTATGGAGTTTTGGAGAGGGAAGATGGTGCACTCGGCTTGTAGGGAGGCTGCTGGAGCAAATGTTTGCTTTGAACCTCTAGAATTTGAATATCAGTTGTGGCAGCCCTTTGTGCTTGATAGCATGTGTTCGCAAATGGTCCGTACCTTCCCTGCAAGTGTGACCAAAGAGCTGTTGTACAGTGGCTGTTGACTGGGGCAGCCTTGTGGTCTGAGATTTTGGAAGAAAGCTCCAAGTTTTCCACTGAGTCACACTTGTGAAAATTAAATCACATCAGCTACTCCTAGGCTCGAAAAGGAGCTCATTAGGGAAGGAAGATTAATCAGTTTGTGTAAAGGAATGACACTGAACATATTTCCACAACTGTCTTTTGGGGGTGAGAGATCTTTTTTGTTGTTAAGCGAGAATTCATGCTTCAAAATTCCTTCCCAAACTTTTTTTTTTTTTTTTTTTTTTTTTCCCACACTGATCTCTTCTTTTTATAGACTGTGAAGGTCTTTTGTCCTGAAATCTGTAGAAAGCTGATAAATTAATAGCAGTACACTGCATGTTGGTGTTTGGTTATTTTTAATGTACCATGGTAGGGAGCAATGGCTGCACAGAACCAACTGCAGGGAACTAGTTGGTGGTGCTGAGAGCAGTATTTAAGAGCTCTTAAAACAGCACATCTGTGACAGTCAGTGCGAAGCATTAAATATGCTACAGCCCTTTCACCTCCTTCAGAGCTTCTGAATCATCAATTTGGTGATGCTGAGGATAGGTATAGGTGCCCATCCTAACAATAGGAAAGAAACACATGTTGTGGGGGATGGCTCTTGACCTACAGCTATGCATTACAAAGTAAATTCAGTGTATCCAACTATAGCAGAAAACTCAGGACATAGGGAGGAGGAAGGAGGAAGGGTGTTCTCACAGAATTTGATGCTCTTCTGAAATGGATTTACTTTTAAGCTATAATCCAGGTGATGAGGACAATAGAAGTAGACAAATGTTATTTAGGATTGTTTTTTACAAATAGAAATACTCTCTTTTTGTAGAAAACTGAATTCTTGCAGGGATGATGTGGTGTGTAATAAAAACAGAAATAATTTTCCAAGCTTCCTTACTTCTAAGAGTTGAGCTAATCTTCTCTGTTACACGTTGCTTTGGTTATATATGATTTTGCTACATTTTTTCATGATTTTTTGAAATTAAAACACCCGAAGAAACCAATACTGTGAGGCAGTTGTTGGTAAAACTACCCAAGTTCCTGCTGGTAAAGTGGGGAGTTGGAAGTGTATTGAAGACCTACTTAGATATTTATCAATCTTATTCACTAATGTTTAAAAGTTAATAACTTCAGTATTCTACAACAATACAGCAAATACGGGAATCTGAACTGACACATACTGAACTTTTCTTGAGTGCTTGGTGCAAGTGTAGTTCTTGATGTGTACATTTTATGTGGTAATTATCCTGAAAAATGAGTTTTCCAATGTAGAACATTGAGATTTAAATTAAAAAACTTTGTAAGAGTGTGTGGAATTCCAAAAGCCCCTATATCCCAGGTGCAGCCACTCCTAATGGTCGTCCATCTGCACACATAGGCAGTCAAAATGGTGCCCTTCAGTCCCCTCCTTTCAGGGCAGTGCATGTGTTTTAAAAGTAAGGGGTTAAAGAGGGCACTACTCCTGCCCTAAATAAACCACTGTTTTTAACTGTTTCAGGTTGTTTTGTTAAAAGGGATGTTTTATTTCGGTCTAAAACAAAGTTTCTGCAATTTGTCAGTAACCTCTGGTGTATTTAAAACTGGTACCTGTGAGCAGGCAAACACCTCTAGGGAGGGTTCTTAAACAAGTTTATCTGTTTGCCTAGGGAAAATATTCTGGAAAATGTGAAGTATGTTGCAGTACTGAGCCCATTCTCAATGCAGTGTAAAGCTAAAAGGAGCTAGCAGCCACCTCCAGCACAGGGACAGAGTGCTTGCTTCAAGGAGGGGGACTCCAGCTACCTGCAACTAGCGAGGCTTTAGCTTGCATGGCACTTGAAGGAAAGGTGCAGGATCTGTTTGCTGAGCTGCTGAGCATCTTTATCCAATTACCAGATGTTTAGGTAGCCTTAAAAAACTGTTTAAAAATAATTCGAATATGAAAGCGAGGTAACATTTTCTGTCGAACAAATGTAAAATGTTTAA